AAGTTCTGAGAGCGCCGAGCACGGAATTGGACACGCTCCGCCTGGTCATCCCCCTGTTCACAATGGTGCTCCTCCTCCTCCAGGTGCTCCACCAGCAGGCCAACCCCCTCACCAGATGGGATGAGATCTCGCATCCTTCCCCATTTAGTAGAAAACACATTTTATGAGTGAACTATTCTTACGATTCAGGCTACACGAATAAAGGTTTTCTGACAACTGCATGAATATTTGTGATGAAAGAAATTCACTATTTCATAACATATGGCTCGTTTCAGTTTCGTCAGTTTTTTTGCATAGTGCATTTTGTGCGCGAGAGTTTACTGAAGGCTGGTTCACATACACATTAAATAGCTGCTTCTGATTTCGCATCTGAAAGGCTTGTTACTTATAAAATCAAAAAATAAGTTAACGACCATAAATAATAAATGAGATAGCGAGAACGGAACCTGAGGAAAACACTAAATACATCTCAAATGAAATGCGCAGAGAATATCGTAAATGTTCCTCAAAGTTTCAGAAATGGCCGACTCTCCAGGTAAATTTCCCTGGACTTGGAATAGACCATACATTGCTTGCGCATTAGAAAGACTGATGATTAATAGCTTCCGGTTTCGGTTGCTGATAAGTCGCATTGGATAAGTACCAGTAGTCATCGACTTAAACGTGGCGAAGAAAAATGAGCCTTCTTCGTGTACGTGGCCGATGGAGCAGCAGTTTTTTGGGAGCTCGCACGGCTATTTCAACCTTAAAGGGCGCTGGCTTCATCGTTTTGCCTGGCTCCGGCAAACAACTATGAAGTGTTATAGCCCCACGAGCAGCGATTCGCCGTTCTGGTCGCTGGTCTCTCGAGGAACATCTGTGTTCCCATCGTGCAAATCTATGCAGAAACAGCAGTTAGTAATGAACAGGAGCACGATGACTTTTACTCGCAACTTGCCGAACTTGTACGGGCCATGCCGTGATAATGGGCAACTTTAGCGCTCGAATCGGAATCTGGTGACGACAGTGATCCTCTGGTTCACAGCTAATAAGCGGCACAGCGAGGTAAGAGGGAGGGTAGCAAGTCTGTCAACTTTGCTTCTACCATGGTAACAGTTAATTTCTTAAGGTTTCGCTCAGAAGGTGGACCCAAGGCCCCAAATCGCCTGCAGCGCCACGAATTGGACCACATTCTGTGTAATATAAGAGCTATGACAGATCTCACTTTTGTTCCCTGAAAGAAGTTACGGAGGAGTTTTCCTTGATTTTCAGTGTTTTACCTGCAATCACATGTTAGCCCGCACTATAAAAAAGTATCGAAAGGAGAACCGAGGCACTGGGCGTGAGCCTTGGTAGCGCAGTTGGTAGCGGTCGTGTTTCTCACGGAGGGGGTCGGGGGTTCGGTCCCTTACGGGTTTGTGTTTTGCTTTTTTCCAACATGGCTGAAAAGCCTTTTTGAATCTGTTATTTTACCAATGGTCGCCCGACGCTACATCTACGAAGAGTTTGCAAGCTGACCCTCTTAAACTTAAGCACTACTTGTCTGTGAAAGCCTATGGTGCCCGTAGTGCAGGTGCTATGCTTTTCCGTGGCAAGTAGGTATGATATTCGTATTCAGGGGATCAAACTACCCCTTACAGCGAGTTTTTCGCCAAATCTGAGGCGACGAAATAATTGAGAAAAAGCGGGGCAGTGATGGGATTACCACTCCTCAAACTCCACTTTTTTGGGTTGACCAATCATGGACGACGGGGGAAAGGGGAGAAGGTGTTGTATTAGGAAATAATGGTTTGTAGATCTTTGGATGATGCAGACGGGCAAGCCAGACACAATTTTTGTCTATTATGAAAAGTTTTTAAAAAATTTATTCTACCCAAGTGCCAGCCTTTTGTAATGGATTGGTGGATCGGTGAGTAAGTGACTGCCCAAATTTTCGAGGTTAGGTCAAAATTTCAGAATTCGCTAGAAGTTCGCTCAAAGGGAGAGTCTGACTCCCTGATTACGAATATCATACTTGTTCGAAGCAAAAATGCCTGGCGCCTGCGCTACAAGCGCCCAAAGTGGTGAGGAGCGGTGCCGCCCAAGTTCATTATTAATTGCCCTCAAATTCTTTTTACTGTTAACTATACGCAAGCATGTCGGACTAGCAATGTTAGGAGTCTTCCTAGCTATCTTACTGCAAACGGCAAAAGAACAAACTCGCCAGGGAGTTGATCCCCTGACCTCTTTTTCGTGAGCCTCGACCACAGCCCCTGCGCTTTTCTGCTTCATAATTCCTTTCAGAGAAGAGTTCAGCAGATAAGGAACACATATTTGAGCTCAGCGTCCCAAGGCGCGTATACATTACACATATACATCTCATTTCAAATGGCCGGGTTGACCAAATGACCTTTCCTGGTGAGTCCAAATCAGCGACAAACGCGATCTCACATCGTCATGTTCTCGTGTCTCCAAAGTTTCCTTAAATGGCCGTCCAGATCAGCAGATCCCTGATATACAGCTCTGAGGTTTTTTCAGATATCAGTGGACTTTGTGCGCTCATTT